TTTGCCCAGCTTTTCTCTTTTCCCACATTTGGTTGAATCTTAATTATACATTGCCTATTGATGCATATTTGTGAACCTGTGAGATCTATAATTTAATTGGAAAAGAAACTCAGAGATGGGATGAAAGAAATAAAAAAACTCAAGGACCACCCTTGTGGATCATTCATCTGATCTACTCTATGGAGAAAATTTTATATTCTCTTATTCCTTTACTCACAATCTTGTTAGCAAGAATGTAATTAACGTAAAATGGAATTCAAAATAAACAAATAGGAGAGAAAATTAAAAACTAAAAAATAAAAAAATAACTGCTTTATCCCTCCTAAAATTGACAAGGATAACCGAATGAGGAAAAAGTAGAAACTGAACGAGCATTAAGTGCCTCATTCTGTCACATCTCATGTTTTATGTCGGATAAACTCCAAATAAGTCCAAAGCTTCACCTGTGCTTTGAAATACCACTTCATAAACCTGAAGAATTGACATAAACTAATCAACTGGTTTATTTATTGGTCATATAATATACGATATCAATTACATTTGTGGTTCTTCTTTCAACCACTTCCTCACAAACTAAGCATATCACTCTCATCCTCACACCCTTTTTTCCTCAGTTTCATTAGAGAGTGTACTGTACATGATGGACAATTGAGCCATTAATCAAGTAGAATGAAGAAGAACAAGATGCAAATGAAAACCCAGTTTTTCATCTTCTTCTTCTGTTACATTGGTTGTTTTTCTTTTGGTTTTGCTGCCGGAGCAGATGATGAAGTGTCAGCTTTGCTTTCTATAAAAGCAGGTCTTGTTGATCCGTTGAACGCCCTGCAGAATTGGAAACTGATGGACGAAGCACTGGGAAAGGATGCAGCTCATTGTAACTGGACTGGTGTCAGATGCAACTCAGCTGCAGCAGTAGAGAAGCTTGACCTCTCACACAAGAATCTCAGCGGCAGTGTATCCGATGATATACAAAGGCTTAAAAGTCTTAGTACACTCAACTTGTCTTGCAATGCTTTTTCATCACAATTGCCAAGATCCATAGCCAATCTCACCACACTGAACATTCTTGATGTAAGCCAGAATTTCTTCCTTGGTGACTTTCCATTAGGCCTTGGAAGGGCATGGCGACTTACGACTTTAAATGCATCCAGCAATGAATTCTCAGGTTCTCTTCCTTGGGACCTTGGAAACGCCAGTTCCTTAGAGATGCTGGATCTCAGAGGCAGCTTCTTTGAAGGGTCAGTTCCAAAATCATTCAGTAACTTTCATAAGTTGAAGTTCCTTGGTCTATCTGGGAATAATCTCACTGGGGAAATTCCTGGAGAGCTAGGACAGCTTTCATCACTGGAGTATATGATCCTTGGGTACAATGAATTTGAAGGTGGGATTCCAGAAGAGTTTGGAAATCTTACTAGTCTTAAATATCTTGATTTAGCAACAGCCAATCTTGGTGGTGAGATTCCAGCTGGATTGGGAAAGCTCAAGTTATTGAATACAGTTTTCTTATACAACAACAATTTTGAAGGAAGAATTCCACCAGAAATTGGCAACATGACTTCTTTGCAGTTGCTGGATCTTTCTGATAACATGTTGTCAAGAAAAATTCCAACTGAAATAAGTCAGCTGAAGAATTTAGAGCTTCTGAACTTCATGGGCAACCAGCTATCTGGTCCTGTGCCTTCTGGCCTTGGGGATTTGCCTCAACTGGAGGTGCTTGAGCTATGGAACAATTCCTTGTCAGGACCATTGCCTATTAACCTTGGCAAGAATTCACCATTACAATGGTTGGATGTATCATCCAATTCACTCTCTGGTGAGATTCCTGAAACTCTTTGCAGCCAAGGCAATCTCACCAAGCTTATACTTTTCAATAATGCCTTCACTGGTCCAATTCCATCTAGCCTAACAATGTGTCCATCCCTTGTTCGTGTTCGAATTCAGAACAATTTTCTTTCTGGGATAGTTCCCGTGGGTTTTGGCAAGCTTGGGAAGCTTCAAAGGTTAGAATTGGCTAACAATAGTCTCTCTGGTGGAATTCCGGATGACATTGCTTCTTCCACATCCCTTTCTTTCATTGATCTCTCAAGAAACAATCTTCATTCTTCTCTTCCTTCCACCGTTCTTTCCATTCCAAACCTGCAAACTCTCATGGTCTCAAACAACAACATGGAAGGTGAAATCCCAGACCAATTCCAGGACTGTCCCTCGCTTACTGTTCTTGATCTCTCATCAAATCATTTCTCTGGAAGCATTCCAGCAAGCATCGCCTCATGTCAGAAATTGGTAAATCTGAACCTACAAAACAACCAATTGAGCGGTGAAATCCCAAAAGCATTAGCTAACATGCCTACATTGGCCATTCTTGATCTTTCCAACAATTCTCTGAGTGGTCAGATACCTGAAAGCTTTGGTGTTTCTCCAGCTCTGGAAGCATTCAATGTCTCGTACAATAAGCTCGAAGGTTCTGTCCCAGCAAATGGTATGCTAAGAACTATAAACCCGAATGATCTTGTGGGCAATGCTGGCCTATGTGACGGTGTCCTCCCTCCATGTGACCAAAAATCTGCGTACTCAACAAGGCATGGAAGCTCACATGCAAAGCACATTATTGTAGGATGGATCATAGGAATATCAACAATCTTAGCCATTGGGATTGCAATTTTGCTAGCAAGATCTTTATATGTAAGGTGGTACACTGATGGATTTTGCTTCAGAGAAAGATTTTATAAGAGTAGCAAAGGGTGGCCCTGGAGATTGATGGCATTTCAGAGGCTTGGTTTTACAAGTACTGACATTCTAGCTTGCATCAAGGAAACAAATGTGATTGGAATGGGAGCTACTGGGGTTGTTTATAAGGCTGAGGTACCTCAATCAAGTACAGTTGTGGCAGTGAAAAAATTGTGGAGATCAGGAACTGATATTGAAGTAGGAAGCAGTGATGACCTTGTTGGAGAGGTGAATCTTTTAGGGAGGCTAAGGCATAGAAACATTGTTAGACTACTAGGATTTCTTCATAATGACACTGATGTGATGATAGTTTATGAATTTATGCACAATGGCAACCTAGGAGATGCCTTGCATGGTAGACAAGCAGCGACATTGCTTGTAGATTGGGTTTCAAGGTATAACATAGCTCTAGGAGTTGCACAAGGACTTGCTTATCTTCATCATGATTGTCATCCACCAATTATCCATCGAGACATCAAATCAAATAATATATTGCTAGATGCAAATCTTGAGGCAAGGATAGCAGATTTTGGGTTAGCCAAGATGATGACCAGGAAGAATGAAACAGTCTCCATGGTTGCTGGATCCTATGGCTACATTGCCCCTGGTAAGTTACTAGTTCATAAACCTTACTTTATCTGGAATTAATAGCTACATTGGCTTCTAGACCACTTTAGAGCATGAAAGATAGTTAAAATCTCAAAGAACATAACTTTCAATCAGCATATTAGAATAGAAAGATAAGGCTGTTTATATTCATATTTGTGAAGAAATGTTTGCTCTTTATTAGATGTACAAGATTTATATGCATGACATTTCAATGATTTACTCTTTGGCAGAATATGGATATGCCTTGAAGGTGGATGAAAAGATTGATGTTTACAGTTATGGAGTAGTTTTGTTGGAGCTTCTCACAGGAAAGAGACCTTTAGATGCAGGCTTTGGAGAGTCTGTAGACATAGTAGAATGGATTAGAAGGAAGATTAGAGACAACAAATCTCTGGAAGAAGCATTAGACCCCAATGTAGGAAATTGCAGGCATATTCTAGAAGAGATGCTTTTAGTTCTAAGAATAGCACTTCTTTGCACTGCCAAGTTCCCCAAGGACAGACCCACCATGAGGGATGTCATAATGATGCTTGGAGAGGCAAAACCTCGGAGAAAGAGTAGTGGCAACAATGAAACAGTTGCAGCTAACAACAAAGAGATACCAGTTTTTAGCACATCACCAGTTAATGGCCTTCTGTAGGAACCAAAATTGAGTTTTCCCTGGCCAAAAACATGTTTAGAGCTGTAATTTTGTAATCAGCAATTCATATTTGTCTTTAAAATATTATTGGGTATATCAAAATGTATTGATTTTTGCAAATAAATTTTATTCGTATCCTGATTTTGGCCAAGAGTTACCATAGAGATGAGTAGAAACCAAGATTAAGCAATTGTACCTATTATCCTTTGGATAATAATGATGATAATTTTCCAAACGTGCTAATGAAGTAATCAAAAGTAACTTGGTCCCTGTTTTTCTTTCTTTTTCTTTTTCTTTTTCTTTCTTTCATGTGAGGGACTTTCTTTTGCAAAGGTCTCTATTGATCAGTCCACTAGACAAGGGCACTCTACTATACCCAAAGAGTAAATTATTAATGTTCATGAAGCTCTAGGCTCTTGATAATGATAGACTAGCATCTTTATTCCAGTTTATTTTTGCCAAAAATAATTACTTTTTTTTTTTGTTTAATCCTGAGCTAAAATTTTATTACATTGCCCCGTTAGTCAAAATCATTTCTGCATAAAAATGGGTGCAACAATATTCAGAACAGAATTGCCAAAATTCAGGGCAAGCATTCTTTCTAAAATCCCACAAGATAGCTTATGTTTGAGGTCTTGATGTTCTAGACCACAAGATTGATGTAAAACAAATCTTAACACGTACTTTAACTTTGTTAAACGCAAAAGACACGGCTCGTGAATCCATGGATAACGTCCTTTATCAATAACGTCCGTGCATATATATTATAACCCTTTTTTCAGTTCTCAAAAAAATAAAAATTAATAATCAAAGAAATCAGAAATCTGCTTACATCCCCGTGAAACATATTTTATGTACCATATTTTATTATAACAGGCACAACACAGTTTTAATTATTTGTATGGCAACATTCCAAGGAACCATAAGGTATGAAAATATTAAATGCTGGCCAAATTGAAGCAATGGTTCCAATAAACAGGAAAATAACTCTGCTATTACAAGTGAGAATTCGAATTACAACAGCAGCAGGGGAAGAGAAGGTAATCAAAATTTGCCAAGTTAGCAAGCATCTCATATTTACATTATTAAGAAACGGCAAAACATTATATGACTAACATTACACAAAAATCTATGGCGCCTGTGCCCTCCAAGTGATATAAGATATTAAACAACCAGCATCCGAATTGAACCAAAATAACAATAAAAATAAAAATCTCATAATCCCATTTTTACTTTTCTCTTATTGTTTTTTCTCCTTTTTTTATTCCTTCTATTCGTGCTATACACTTTAGGCCATCAGTTTTCTGTATCCTAACACATGCAAAATTGCAAACCTTATCTATATTGGCTTGCTTTTCAATCTGCTGTTCTTTTCTTCCAATCTTGGTGCTGCAAATAAGTAACTAGGTTAGAGAAAGAAAAAAGAGTGAATAAATTGCGTTAGGAATAATAGTGCATCTACTTACCAAGACCATTTGCCTCAGATGTTCTCATGATTCTTAGTCTCCTCACAGAGCTAAGGAACATCCTGATTGCAATTTTAAGGACAAAGGGTAGGTAAACATCAAACCAGATAAAACAAGAGGTCCTACGTTTCAGCATTACAAGATGAAAAACAAAGCTAACATCTGCCTACCTACTATGAAAATACATGAATCAATTGCAATTATCAAATCTAAGAGTTCTTGCTTTTGTTCTTGTTACTTTTACTTATAGTTTTCCTTGTTCAGGAAAAGAGCTATGGCCTAGTGAAAATCAACCATTTTAAACATTACAGATACTACTTGAAAATCAATCAACAAAGCAAATTTTAGCTACAAAGAAAAACATGCTGCACATCAATGATATATCACCACCATCACTACAGAGGGAGAGAAATCTTGATACTAAAATCAAATTGATGATTATGAACCAAATCCTTACCACCAAGGAACATCTCCAACAAGCATCCAGTCTCCTTCCTTGTCTTTGTAAGTGAGCACAAAGTTTGAAGATCCATCCAACAATCTTGACTGCCCATCTACTCCAACTACAATACCATGATTCTCTCCATTTGATCCTATTGACAATGATGTCAATACCATTAGGGGAACAATGGAATCTAACACATTGAAGAAACAAAATCAAACACTATGCTATCATATATCCCCAAAAGCAAAATACGAAAGAGACAGAGAGAAAAAAAATGATATATACCGGAATTTTATTGATGAAAACAGAACACCAAGTTCTTAGATGGTTTTGTTTCGTATCTTTGAAATTTGTTATATTTTGATAGCTCATATGTTATAAAACTGAAATAATGAGATAGTCTTGAAAGAAAAGTAGTACATATGATATCTATTCTACACAAGATGAGCAAAATAAAACGAAAGTAAGAGAGAGTGAAAATTTAAACCCCTACCACTGCCACCTTCATCAAGTAATCCACATATGTTTGTCATTTTTTAATCTTTTATTAATCTACAAATGTACTTTTTGGACAATAGTTAATCACACATACGTTCAAATTTGGCAAAGTTAAAAAGAAAGGAAGCGAGAAGTTATCATTGTGTCATATTTAAAGTGCACATAACTCATAAGAAAGGAATGGCACAAAGTTAACAAAATATTCACCAAGCGGATAAAATCATGTTGATCTTGAAAACATGACATAATTACATACAGGAGTAGCATTTTCTTTATTAGGAGTATAAAGACCAAGGAAAGCTCACCTTTGCAAGTGAGGACTGTAGTTGGTTCGTTAAACATATCCTCCAAGGTTCGTGCTAAGGTTTTGTAGGAACTATGAGCACTCAAATCAACCTTCCTTCCAATTGGTATTCCATCCATATTTACTTTCACAAACAGGGAACTCCTCAGATTTCCGTTTTCTTTGGAGATAATTTTTTTATTATCATTGCCATTGTCAGCACTCTTATTGCTCTTATTTTCCTCAACTACAGAATTGAATACTTCAGTGGCTGGGGATTTTGCATGGCTATTATAGCTGTTCATTCTATATATTCCAAGGGGGGGCCATCCAACTACTTGACTGTAAAAAATAAGTCAGAACATATATTACAATCCCATCACAAAGAAATGATAATAAAATTGAAAAATATTTGATTCATTCCATTTCTATAGAGTTACACACAAAGGAGATCATTGGGAAGAAAGAGAACCACAAAATGAAACGAAGTGTCTTGCACATGGCAAACTTGTTAAATCTCATAGATACAAGAAGAAATGATAGTAATCCTTGTTATATTAAACTACACAACATTGGTGCTATTATATAGCAAACCAATTGAAGAATACAAAGAGACACACTCAATGTGGGACTTCTACACTATTAACACTAACACTCTTCACACTCCCCCTCAAGCTGTAGCATATAGATCATATGCTACAAGCTTGATACATAAATAATACTCTCATTAGGAACCAAAAACAACAATGCTACATCAACGAAATGAAATGACTAAGTACAACAAATCAACTGGAATGACCATCAGTCTGAAGAGCTGATAAAGAGACAATGCTGGAATGGACATCAGAGCATGGATGGTGCCGGAATTATCATCGGCAAAGACAACTGAGCTGACCAGGACATCAGCATCAAGATCCCTCTCAGACATTTCATTTAACAGTTGGTGAGCAGCCGTGGTTTCCCCTTGACTATGCTACAAGCTTATTACAAGAGAGACCAAGTAACATAACATCAAAATAAATCTCCTAAATGAGAAACCAAAAATCAACAATGTGCTAAAAATGGCGTCGAAATGAACATCAACATGGAAGATGCCGGAATGATCATCGGCAAAGACAATTGTGCTGGAATGACCATCAGCAACATGGACGGTGCTCCCCCTCAAGAGGAACTTCTAAACAGTGCCGGAATTATCGTCGGCAAAGACAATTGTGCTGGAATGACCATCAGCAACATGGACAGTGCTCCCCCTCAAGAGGAACTTCTAAACAGTGCCGGAATTATCATCGGCAAAGACAATTGTGCTGGAATGACCATCAGCAACATGGACAGTGCTCCCCCTCAAGAGGAACTTCTAAACAGTGCCAGAATTATCATCAGCAAAGACAATCATCAGCAAAGACAATTGTGCTGGAATGACCATCAGCAACATGGACAGTGCTCCCCTCAAGAGGAACTTCGGTGTCAGAATTAACATCAGCGGAGACAACATCAGCAACTTGGACAGTGCTCCCTCTCGAGATGGATGATGAATAGTATAAATACTCCATCTTGGGAAGAAAGAAGATTAAAGGAAAAACAAAGCTTCGCGGAATCGGAAAAGTCGTCGGAGACGGCGGTGGGTCGTCGAAAAAGTCATCGGAGACGGTGGTGGATCGCCGAAAAATTCGCCGGAAAGTCATCGGAAAAGTCGCCAGAGACGTCTGTCAACGGTGGACGACGCGGTCAACGGTGGTCGGTCAACGACAACGGTGGTTAACCCAACAACTTCCCAAGGATCATTCTTTTCTGATGTGACAGATCAGTCTAAGCTGCAGTCACAGAGCATACTAAGAAAAACCCGAAAAAGAAATAGCAACGGGAATCCCTCAAGGAGGGTGATATCTCTCTATAACCATATTGAAATTATGGAAAATAGAACTAAGTTAAACGGATTAAGATTCCTCTTGTTAGGCTCTAGATACCATGTTAAATCTCATAGATACAAGAAGAAATGATAATAATCCTTGTTATATTAAACTACACAACATTGGTGCTATTATATAGCAAACCAATTGAAGAATACAAAGAGACACACTCAATGTGGGACTTCTACACTATTAACACTAACACTCTTAACAGTAACTATAAACCAATTTTTATTTTTTTTTGGATAAAAGTAAAAGCATAACAATTCAAAAGCAAGATAATTACCCTACAACTTGAGAATTTAATCCACTGAAGCAAAATTATAACTCTGCATACTTCATATTCTAGGTGGGTAATTTCTACATCATAAGTTGAGTTGCTTTACTTTTGGTTTTTTGTTTTTTTTTTTGAGATATTCTAATCGGTGCATCGCTTTGAATTTAGTCCAATTCGGGGTGAATTCCGAAATTAAGACTTTAAACTTCTTCCAAAAACGGTACCGGGCGTCAATATTATTTGATTAAAGCCTTACTTTTGTTTAACAAATAATATAAGGGTATCAAAATTTGCATGACCTACCGAGCAGACTGAATCTGCTTGGTGAATAATGAAATAAATAATTATAAGATATATATATATATATATAATTATTTAATATAATCTTCATAATATTATACCTAAAATACATAAAAAAAATTTAAAAAATGTAAGTTTCGTTTGATAACAAAACAAATCACTTAGTATATTTTACATGCCCCGGCTTTACATTAGGGATAAATAAATATTACGTTCCTAATCAACCATTTTTATCTAATAAATGATGATATTGGTAGCCGCGCTATACAGATACGGCAACCAAGTCATTAATACCCATCATAGAATACCACTACAATATATAAAAGATTACGGGATAGTTAGCTCTCGTATGGAAAAAATGGCACTAACACTTATTTTTTTCAGGATAGGCATGCGGATCTTGATGTTTTTTTTTAGGTCAGGATACGACCACTTATCCTAGTTAAAATTTTGCTGCAATTTTTTTCATCAGCAATGAAAGAAGAACCGACGAACCCAAAGATTATTACCTAAAACCAATGATAACCAGGAATGATCCATCAAGTAAATGAAAGGCATAAGACATACTAAATTGGATAGCGTGTGATAAACATTAAACACCATAACAAACACAAGTCATTTGTTATTATACTATAATAAGAGGCTACCTAACTACTACTAAATCAAGGAAAATGGGGTGAAGATCATTTGTAATTTACCTGAGACCATTAGAGGGGACAACAGAATCAGGAGGTGTGTTGGTCCCAGAAGTGACATTAGAGGAAGAAGGAAAAACCTTTGTGGCATATGGAGAGAGGCTTAAGGCGAGACCCAATTCAAGGTGAGACTCATCTGGGGAAGAAGAATCCTCGGAGGAGAGGACCAAGTTATCATCTTTAGACAACGTTGACATTGACCCACAATTTGAAAAACCCTGCATGAAACGGGTCTGAACTGAAGAAGTGTGAAGAGTGTGGGAGTGGATAAAATTTGAAGGTGGTTAAAAAGAAAGAGATTATGATGATGATGGATGAAGAAGGATGGGGTAGGAGAGGAAGGGTATGGTGTGGATTATTGGAAAAGCAGAAGAAGAATGAGGGATATATACAAACAAAAACAAAAGAAGGGTAATGGTTAATTAGGTTAGGTGAGGTTTGATTGGTGATGGGAATGTAGTGACAGATATGGTGGCGTGGTTAACAAGAACTCAAGAGAGGGTATAAGTGATTGCTGTGTGGTCCCCACATGTCTGTTCTGTGCACCTCCATCATCATCAATGTCCTTTTCCTTTCTACTTGCTGTGTCTAGTTAGTGCATCTTTCTTTATTTACACTTTGGAATTGGAATCATGTTTGGTTACACATATGGTGAAATATCAAAAATGGAAATGAGCTATAAAATAAGATATCCTTCAAAATGGTTGCAGGTGTGGTAGGACACACGCACAACACACTACACACGACAAAGACCAAAATGCCAACTTTTCAGAAATAAAATCCCTAAAAATAGCATGTTTTAGGATGCGTTATCAGTTGCCTGAATAAGGATTTTTGACAATGAGGTCCTGTTTGCATGACATGGCAATCTATTGGGTTACTCTTATGTTATCTGTCACTTATAATGTTTTCTTATGCAATTGGGTTATGTGTCACCTGTATCAGGATCCGCTGATAGAATAATTTATCTTGGACCCGTTATTTTTTACAATAAATCAGACAAAATATGGCAAACTGATCCATTGGAATTGATAATGAATTCTAAAATGTAGTATTTTAATATTTTATTTAAGGAAAAATATTTCTATTTAATTGCTGAACAAAATTTTCGGTTACACTCACATAAAATTAAATAGATTCTATTATAGAAAAAAGTATTAGTGAAAACTCACCCTATATATGAACCCTTTTATTTATGAACCGTGACATTTCAACTATTAAAATGCCAAAAAGCGACATTTTGATTCTTGTCCCACACAGCACAACTATATATATATATACATATATATATATATATATGAAAAAGTATTTCTCCAGTCACTGGAGATAATTTTATCTATTTCCAATGAACTCAAAACGATGTCGTCTTCGATTATAAGATTAAAAAAATATAATGATAAAAGACTAATATAACACTGCAATATATCAGAATTATAAAAATATCTTGATTTTCGTCCTAAAATGACGTCATTTTGAGTTCACCGGAGATAACTTATTTCCATTTACTGAAAAAATCTTTTACGCATATATATATATAGAGGTAGGATCCTTTGACACCTCATCTAAGAGTCATTGGATTAAAAAAGATCAATGGTGTCACAAGCTTACAAATCAGAGCCGCTGATCTTTTTTGATCCAATGACTTTTAGATGAGGTGTCAAATTTCAAGTTTGACACTGGTGTCAAAGAATCCTACCTCATATAAATGGATTCTTTTTTAATGTTAAAAAAAATATAATATGATCATATGAAAAATCATAATTATACAAAGATAAATTAATAATAATAAAAAAAGAAAAAACAATAAAATAGATAGTTATAAAATCATAACTGTTGATTTACCTTTGTATAATTATGATCACGTCAATATTTATTTTTCACACGATAAAATCAAAATATATATATATATATATATATATATATATATATATATATACACGCTCCAAACGACAACCCGACAAAAGTGGGGCCAAACCATCATTCGACTCGAGAAATTAAGTAGCCTGTCGTTTACGAAAAAACCCTGCATCCAATTGAATGGCCACACATATCTTTGACGTTCTGGTGCCGCGTTTCGCGTATCCATGCCGCCATCTGTTCTCTCCTCTGCCGTTTGTCGACGGTCCACGAGACAGTGATGTGTGATGTCTCCTTTGTGCAGAGCCCACGGACACGTGGAATATTGACACCTTTTAATATTAAGATAATTTTTTCCTACCCTTAAAATTAGGAATTTGACTCAACTAATTGGATTTAATCCACTCATTTTTTATTATTAATACATTATTGCTTAATCTCTTTGCCAACATGATCAACGAACAATATCGTATTAAACAACATTGTACAACATTTAATACATAAGCACAATAAAATAAATTATATTATTAATCATATGAAACATCAAACTCAATAATGCGATAACTAGAGGTTTAAATGAGTTAAGTCAAGCCAAGTTTTAGCTTAAATAAGTCAAATCTATAAAAAATATTTTCAGTTTAGTTTGGCCAATTAGTTTAGTACCATCTAAATTCTAGACTTGACTTATTTATGAAAAATTAAAAGCTTAGTTTGGCTTATTTATAATTATAAAATATATTTTTTTCAAACTCACATACGTCCAAATGTTGAGACTATAAATTCATCAAATTCTGTATTCTTTCGTAAGAGAAAAAATAATCCTAAAACTCACTCAGTCCACATATAAATTTATATCTTTCATGCTATCTAGTCGGAACAAAAAATAACATTTTCAATACATTCAACTATCCCATTAGAGATTCGATTCATGGGCTAGTTTGGAACCAATTCAAGATTCATTAAAGCTGAGACTTATGATCGAATAATAAGTTTCACAAATCCTTTTTAAACATTGATCCAACTCATAAGAGAAGCACACAGACCCACCCACATGGAACTTGTATAGAACCCAAAAATAGGATTAATAATTCAATGACATAAAACTATATTAGTTATTATAATAATATATCAAGTCAGCTCACAGACTTTCAAGCTAAATCTTGTTAAATTAGACTTGGACTTGTTTTCTAAACAAGTTTTTTTTTAAAGCTTAAGCTCGTTCTATTTATTAAATAAGTCAGGTCAAGCCAAAATCTTGGGCCTCTAACAAACCGCTCGATCCATTTACACTCCTAGCGATAACATATAACACTTTTTTTAATAATGCATCAAAATTAAATTCTAATAATTTTACAACAATATATGACTAATTCCTTATCTATCTTCCAAAACACTAACATTATAAATAACTAGTTTTTTATACCCAAAAAAATTAAAGTAAGAACACATTTTTAGTAAAGCAAATGATCACGTCTTACTATTCTTATGCATTATTACCAAGGGGTCACTGATAGAATTCAACCCGTGGTAGACACCCTGATGATGCAAACAATAATTTCTAAAGCGTTTTATGGCTGGATACATCAAAACATGTTTGGCAACTTCCAAGAGGAAGGAAATGACTCAAAATCAGTGTTTTAAAACCCCACCCCGCCCCCCGATTGACCCGGGTCAACCCTGACCCCTCCCCTCTGAGGGTTGGGGTCACAAGTTGGACCATATATGCATATCGACCCCTCCGACCCCCAAAACCCGGCCGGGTTTCAGTGACTCCGGGGTCAGAGGGGGTCACTGCATATTTTTTTTTTATAAAAAAATTCAATGAAACAACATCATTTTATTAAAAAAAATAAAATAAAAGTGCTTGTAAACCTAAATCTAATCGTTCTCTTCTCTTCCAGCGACTTAGATGTCTTCGATCTTCACCTCGCTGCCGTAAATCTTCTAGAAAAGGTAAGAATTTTACCCATTCAAATGAAATTGTTACGGTCGTCAATAGAAAACAAAAGCTCATTCTTACTTCCTTTAAATTTTCATTTGTCAGGAACCTTCTCAAAAGAAGCAGAATCGGATCAGCGTAGTGAACCCATTAGAATATGAGTTTTATATTTTGGTATCTTGATACTTTAATTAGGTTGTGTAATATTGACTTATGGTTGTAATTGGCGAATTATGTTAAGTATATTTTGAATCTTTAATGATTGGTGGTTTGTTTTTTAATATTTTCATATAGGATATATATATTTATGTTTTTTTAACAGTGTTTAAAAATCCGGTCCGGCCATCGACCCGGTCGAGGTCAGGGGTCACGGGTTCAACCGGGAGGTCACGGGTTTAACCGGGGGGTCACGGGGTCACTATGCTGACCCGGTTTTATATATTAAAAAAATATAAATATATATATATCCTATATGAAAATATTAAAAAACAAACCATCAATCCCAAAGATTCAAAATATACTTAACATAATTCACCAATTACAACCACAAGTCAATATTACACAACCTAATTAAAGTATCAAAATACCAAAGTACAAAATTCATATTCTAATGGGGTTACTACGCTGACCTGGTTCTGCCTCTTTTGATAAGGTCTCTGACAAAAGAAAATTTAAAGGAAGTAAGAATGAGTTTTGTTTTCCATCGACGATCGTAAGGATTTCATTTGAATGGGTAAAATTCTTATCTTTTCTAGAAGATTCACGACAGCGAGGTGAAGATTGAAAACGTCTAGGTCACTAGGAGAGAAGAGAACGATTAGATTTAGGTTTGCAAGCATTTTTATTTTATTTTTTTAATAAGACAATGTTGTTTCATGGAATATTTTTTTAAAAAAAAAAAACATGCAATGACCCCCTTTGACCCCTCTGACCCGGGAGTCACTGAAACCGGCTGGGTTTTGGGGGTCAGAGGGGTCGATATGCATATAGGGTCCAACTTGTGACCCCAACCCTCAGAGGGGCGGGGTCAGGGTTGACCCGGGTCAACCCGGGAGGTGGGGCGGGGTTTTAAAACACTGTTTTTAATATATAAAACCGGGTCAACGTAGTGACCCCGTGACCCCCCGATTGAACCTGTGACCCCTGACCTCAGCCGGGTCGACGGCCGAGCCAGGTTTTTAAACACCCCTGAAAACAGTGCGGAAGAAAATGAAAGCACTTTACTTTGCTTCAATGTTTCTAGAGAAGAGGATTATTTGTGAAATTTAAATTTTAGTACAGTCTTCCGGAAACCTTATTGAAAAGAGATATGAACATAATTACAAAGAGTTCTTTTCATAAGAATCCCCCTTTTTTGGGATAAGTTCGGCTGTTAGGCTTCAACATATCTTCCCCTTTCATTCATTCTAAAGATATTTTAAAGAATGGTGCTGCAAATTTTCTCACTTCATCAGTTTATTTTCAATTTTTCATTTTCACAATCTAAACGTATCTCCTCTTAACCCACCAAAACTGTTAGTTCAAATTGATGTGCAAGAGTAGTCTGAGTTATAAGTCTGTCCTAGCATTGTACAATATTAAATACATAAGCAGAATAAAATAAGTTTATCTGGATTTGGGCTCGAAACATAGACAAATGAAAAATAAAACCCAATCTCTCTTGTCCTTGATTATTTGGTCATACATGTTCAGATAATCAACTCTTGTAAAAGTTAAGATTAAGAAGTCAGCAAGATTAAAAAGAAACAGAAGGATGCAGGATAAAACAAAATGCACATCATTCTACAAGGCAACATACATTTATTTTCATAATGAAATAAGATGGTGAATGTTATTATAACGTATTGCACCAAAACAATATTTGGAAACTTATTCACTCAACCAAATATTGACGTCCTCCTAACCTCAAATCATATAAAGGTTTAAAATATAAAAGCTTGTTTATAGCTGAATTGAAGATCAAACGTAAGCTTACTATTATTGATTGGAACTCAATTTTGCCTCTGAATTTTCTGATGGACGAGCTATGCACTCGGTGCAAGCATTACATGAAGGAGGCAAATTGTCAGAGAGATCAATCCGCAAGGTTTGATGCGTCTCCTCATTCCCAGGTACATGAAGGAGAGCATCCATGATTAAAATGTCCCAATCACGAGGAATAAAAAAGGAAGACCAAGTGTCATCATCTGTTTCAAATAAGCCAAACCAATAATCATTACTATTAGCTTTCAAACTGACCTCAATGTCCCCACTTTCCAAACAATAGATTTTACAAAGCCAAGTAGAATTCATAAGCAAAAATATAGCTAGAATAAGCAAGCAAATTCATATCATGCTAGTAATACAGATTAATTCAGTTAACCAAGAGTTTGGGAAAAAGTTTCCATTAAAATCATAAAGATAAATGTTCAAATTGCTAACCTCCATTGCGTACCGCCTTCAGCCGCAAGACACCTGAGCCCAGTGGTCCAGAAACAGGAAATGAGCAAGACACGGAATGCCTCTTATGAGCTACTGCAAGAGATGCATTGTACCATGGACCTCTAGCAATTGGTTCTCCAATAGCATCTATTATTGCCTGGTTCTTGCTCACCTTCTCCATGGCCTTGCTGCAAATTTCACAGCTAATAATTTTAGAATCTGCCAAGGTGAACAAGTTTTAAATTTTGAAATGTAAAGAATAATAGTTGAGAAACTCCTTTCGTGATATGAATTTGTAATCGGATCTCAGAAAAGTATTCAAGAAGCTTACTATCTATTATCTACTATATAAAGATGAAAGCAAATTAAAAATAGAATAGAATTTACTTGATGGGATTGGAGGCTGAAGAATTTGAAAATAGTGATTGGTTTAACCTCAATTAGAGGGCTATCCTCATTTTCGCAGAAAGATATCACAGGGAAGCTATAATTGTAATGCTGGAATGTAGGTAGAAAAAGACATGAAAAGAACAAATGTTTTAGAAGCCCTCCTTCCTTCCTGATAACCATCTTAGAGCTAGCAAAATAAACAGAATTATTAACTAAGTCTTGCAGATCTGATTTGCACGCACTGCCTTTTTTATTTTCAATGAAAAATGAAAATGCTATGCGAGTTAAATTGAAACAAAAGATCACTACAAAATTTAGATGCTAAACTAACTAAACAAATTGATTAGGTTCTAAATATAACCACCATTATTAGTTATTATTATGTTGGAGGGGATAAGAGAATGGTCAAGTTTCAGTTTTAAGCAAAACTATTGGCCTTCTTGAGGAAATGCTCCTCTCCAAAGATAATGAAGATGGGAGACAAGAAATATCATAAACAACGTACATAAAACTGTAAGGTATATTTGGGCTTCTTCTTCTAAAATCTAAACCACAGTAGGTTAAAACGCAGATCTTAATAGATTTCTCACGCCTGACAAATGCATTATCTTGAGATCACAGTAGTTATTATCACATTACAGCTCAGTATATACCTGCTACAGCCATGATAGATAGCAAGGTCATTAAGGGCACTCAGACCAACGCCACCTGTAATAGTAATCAAAACAAATGACACTGCTTTACGACCGAAATATTTGCTCTTCTCTTCATCCACATTCCTTGTGGAACTGCAACAATTTAAAATTGGTAGTCACAATCAAGGACCATATTACAGTTCATACAGTTTCAACCAAGTAATGACAACGAGTACTTTACCATTTTCAATTGAAAAAAAAAAAAAAAAAGGAATAAGTATTTTACTTCCTATGTGTTAGGATTCATCTTACTGTATTCTCAATTCACAGATTTTACCATGAGCAATGCAAACTGCAGACCCCCTAATTTGGGTTAGGGGATTTGATTATTTTATTGAGCTCTGATGCCCGAAATTTTGAAGGGTGGAAAATTGAGGTTACAAATGAGTCTGAGTACACTAAAAATCCTCACTTTTTTGCAACTTTAATCAGCCAACAGAAAAATTTTCCCCTAATAGTCATACAACTCAAAATAAAGTTACATATATATCCAGCAACAATCATCAAATTCAAATACAAGGGGGGAAACAAAAAAAAAAAAAAAAAAAAAAAAAAGTACCAAGAGGAAACACATGAAACAACGTAGAACTCACCTTGATATCTGAGGTTTTGGGGAGAGTTTGAGGAAGGAGCTTAATTTCTTTGCTAACATGATCAACTAACAATATGGTATCTCAGCACAATACTGTCGGTATCCTTGGATTTCGTGATTCACCGAATTACAATGTTCTGTTGTGTTGTATATAGATCAGACAAAATACAAAATGGAAGTGAAGAATGGGAAAGCACAATTACACGAACCCTAATCTCATGCAGCTGCTACAGTCTCTACTCTTATGTTCTGCTTTTCCTTCTCAAGGTTAAGTAAATGTATGGTTGGATTGGACTAGTTTTTCTTTTCTTTTTTTTGGGTTACAAAATTAAATATTTTAATTATCATAAATATGTCAATACTAAATCTGTTTTGTTATTTGAAAAATGTACGGGAGAGAGTAACTGTATCCCCTTTTCAGAGGTGAAAGTATGCATGAATGTATTTTCTCGGGCTGGTGAAACCTAATTATATATTGAGATATGTAATCCATCTTGCTGGGTTGTGATATAAAAACTGATGACGCATTAAGGGTGTATTTTGGTGGAGGAAAAAAAAAAAAAAAATTGGCTAATACTCTTGTGATTTGTTTTAGAATTATTTATGTTTCTGTGGTTTTTTTCTATCACATATATCTATGTGCTTTGTAAAAAATAAAAAATCACAGGGACATATGTGATAAAAAAACATACCCTTTTGCAAACTACAGGAGCATATGTGATAGAAAAAAAATCACAGGGACATTGGTAAAATTTTCCCAAAAATTAATTATTCGATAATAATGAAAAAATAAATTTTCCTGAAATGTTATCAAATAGTTATTTAGTAGGTTAAAATATTCACAAAAATATTGAGTTAATTTTCTTGATGCTATATTTAGTTGATTGTGAAATATTGCTGAGAATTAGGATTGAGGTTAATTTTGTTTTTGGTAGATAGATTGAGATTAATTATATCCCAAAAAATATTAAATATTTACATCATATGGTATTCTCAAAATACCACCAAATGAGTGATATTTTAAAATAGAATTTTTTTTCATAATATGAAACCTGACTTTCCTGGAAAAAGTTTTACAATCCTCATCAAATGTAGAAAAATCGAATTTCCAATCTCACTTTTTCATAATTTTAAAAAAGAAAATTACCAAATACCCCCTAATGAATTATTATTAGGTTGAATCTATGCAATGTATGTTGTTCTATTACTTTTTATATATAAATAAAATTGCTATACTCATATTTTATTTGACCTTCCTCTAATTGCTATATATTTTTTTTGGTAAAAGCTTTTTTCAGTCAATAGAGATAAATTATTTTCAGTGAGCCCAAAATGACAATGTTTTGTAGTAGAATTCAAGTGTTTTTGTAATTATAATTTATTGCAGCGTTATATTAGTCTTTATCATTATAATTTTATAATCTTACAATCTCAAAACGACATCGTTTTGGACTCACTAGAGATAATTTTATCTCCAATGACTGAAGAAATATTTTTTCGATATTTTATATTTATTTATGAGGTAGGATATTCTTACTATCAAATATTTCTACTATTAATTTAGTACCACTTTTCGACTGTTGGATCCCATTTTTCAGCAGAAAATCTCTGAAAAGTTTTTGAATAGAGAGGAAAAAAATAATTTTTGACGTACTATCAGTACATAGTTATATTAGATTAATAATAGAAATATTTGGTATTCTTATTTTACATATATAACAAATTTTGCTACGTAGGTACAAAATCACCCACCTTTTTCAAAAACATCGACTATAGGATTCTTTTATTGCTCCTTCAATCCACACTAAAGAAAAGGAAGCCTTGAAGGAGTTCATATACTGACTTGCATTAATTCAGAATGCACAATGTCTAATTTAGATAATTAGTTGGAAATAAGTTGTGAATTGATTACTTTCTAAGTGGGAATGTGATTAATATTTTATTTTAAATTTTAAAACCAAATTGCTCCCCGTGGTGGGCAAAAGCACCATTGTACAAACCTTTTTCAAAAGATTACTTTGTTCAAAGCATTTGAGAGAAGTTCTTCCATAGTAAAGCAGTTAAAGACATTAGTCAAATATACAAGTCCAGTCCCGTCGACAACCATGACAAGACCCCCTCTACATTAGCTATCAGTTGGCAGTCCCATCAGCAACCATGGCGAGACACCAAACAGTCTCGTAAGCCACGTTGACGGCAATGCATCACACATACTTCAAGCACTACTCACGTTAGGTATCATGATGGACTCATTGAACTAAACTCAACCGAGACCCTCCCTTCCTCGTTCCCTCATCTCATTTCTTTGTTTTTGTTTCTCTCACTAATGTTTTCGTTTGTGTTTTTCTCCTCCTTCTCTCTAAATTCATTTCTGCTTGTCAGAGTTTGGATGTTGTGCACAACTCTCCTCTCAATTTCCAGTCGATTATTGTTGACGAACTCGGCAAGTGTACCGGTCGTACAAATAATAAAGTGATAAGAAAAGTTGTCGATTCCACGAAGACGGATGATCAAGCAATAATTTATCTATTTAACTAAAGTTGGATCGATCATAAAAGGATTTCTTGAGAGTATTGTAATTAAATTAAAAACAGAATTTATAAAATTATTTTTGGTTTTTAATATTTTAGAAATTAAATTCAGAATTAATTAAAGCTAGAAATTGGTTTTAAGTTTTAATAAAAAGGCGTAGCTAGGATTCAACTTCCCCAATGGTTTCTTAACGAGTTTGTTTATTCTTATGATTACATTTAAGATCAAATTATTAACAGCACTTTCTATAATTGACTAAATCTCAATCCCTTGGTAATCTAATCCTTTATTCTAATCCAAAGCCCAATCCCTTAGTACTTCTTCATAAAATAAGCATTAACGCAAGAACCTACGGTTATAGAATTCATAAGTCTATCCCTAAATCATACAAATTCCAGCAATCAATCAATTGGAATCATACACCAACATCCCTATTGTCATGGACGACTCTAATGCTCATTCAAGACTGGCAAGATCATAAATAAGACTAGGAATAAGTATCAGATTGATTGCATAATTTAAAAGCAAGAATGTAATTCATAAGAAATAAACAAATATCAACTAAGAACCCATTGGTTCTGTATCTTCCTAACTACTAAAAGTAATTTAGCTATGCATAATTGTGAAGACAGAATTAAAATAAACTGGAAAATAAATAAAGTTCATGATGAAACTTGATTAAGGAAGACAATCAATGATAGAGATTGGATTCCTCCCTTCTCCTCTGCATCGCTCCAGCGTTCCTCTTCCGCTCCTGCCTTCGTGTTTGTCTCTGACTTCTTTCGCGTTCCAGAATGAATTTCACGGCTTCCTTCGCGTTGTATTTAAAGGGTGAAACTTGGGCTTCTGAATTTTGGACCCGCTCGCTGAAGCGAGCTGCTCAGCGAGCATTATTTTTGCTGGTCGCCCAATCACTCGCTTAAGCGAGGAACTTTGCGAGCTTTAGTAATTTGCTTGCTCACTTGCTCGCTTCAGCGAGCAGTGGAGCGAGCGTTATAATTTTTTTATTTTTTATTTATTTAATTTCTGATTCTCTTCTTGCTCCGCGGATTCCACTGTCGCCTCGTCCTTATCATATTGATATTTTGTTATTCTAGTCTAAACAACCTGAAACAACAGCCAATATTTAGAATTTTATCTATTTGTTGACAATCCATTTTGTTTTACTGTTTTTATTGTTTTAACACTATATTTTTAACTATTTTAATAATTATTTGAACTCTTTTTAACTATAAAAACATAGTGTCTTGGACACTTATCAAACCATTCCCAGATTTACTCATTGCTGTCCTCAGCAATGAATTGAATTAAGAACATGGAATAATGCAAGCATGCTTAATATAAAACTAGGCACTACATCAATTTATGAATGATCAGACTTAGACAAAAAATAATAGGATTTTAAAGAACAAACAATTAACTAAGCAGACTTGAAAGTAAGCAAGTTATAAAATCCAAGTATGAGTTCAGTCAGTCAAGCATAAACACTGAGTTTTAACACATCTCTCACTAGATATATCAAGTCACCCATCACTCATCTGTCTAAAGGTAAGTGTTTCACTCGAATTTTCACTGTATCAATATTTTCATAAGCTTGATAATATTCTCACTTTCCATAAATAATTCACATGCACAAAGATCAAGAGGTCTTTATTCAGGTTGTAATGGGGCTGGGCTGAAGGTAAGATAAATAAGGAAAAACTAGCTAAAACAATGAAATACATAAAGATCATGGTAAAGTGTAAACACTCAAACAATAATCCTTTTTCTCCTTTCCTTCTTCCTTTTTTTTCAGCACTTTTATTTCTTTTTCTGTATTTTTCTTTTCTTTTTCAACCTCCAATACTTTTCTCTTTTTCATTTTCATTTTCTTTCAACATTTTTATTTGCATAGAAACAATAAATATTTTTATTTTTCACCATTTTCTAACCTTTGCTTTTGCTCCATTCACCTAACCTCCTTTTTCACCACTTTTGAATTACATGATAAAGTACTCATGTTTACACCGTACCATGAAATGTCTATAATCCAATTTTATTTAAGGTAGATGTGTATGTGGAGTGGCTAATCAAGACAACAGGTATTAAGAACATAAAAGGTTTATGCTCAAGGGGCTAAACAAGGGATATCATAATGGTTGGCTTTTTGGCTAACTAGTTAAAACAATAAAATGCCTCAATCATTTCAAACATGCATGCAAACAATTACTTCAAGGAGAAACAAAGCAAGTTCTGGTAATATTTTCAACAGTAAAATGCACACTGAAAAGAATTTTCTGTTTAGGCTCAAACCTCACGGTTATATGTGTGCAATTCAGTAATTTATGCTCTTTCTCAATCACTTATACTGTAATTTTATTATTCTTACTGACTCTTAGACTAACTCAATCAAGGCTTATTCATAAAAAAAATATAAAATATACTCTGAGTCATCACATTATAAATTAATTTTACTGATTAATTCCAACTTAGCATGATTTAGTAATCCAGACAGAGAAAAGAAACACAATAAAATAAAGAGGAATAAGGAAAAGAATTTTCCTTGTTTTTCTGAAAAAAATTTGCGGCTCTTCTCATCACAGGGATCATAGTTGTACCAACTGCTACTACTGCTACTATATATATATGGTGCGGTGCGTCCCCATTCCCAGATTTAAAAATTTGTTGTCCTCAGCAATTAATAAATCAAAAAGAAAGAAATGCACACATCAACATAAAAATATCATCAGATAAAGTCAGTAGTAGCCA